TATTGTGCTGGAGAAAAGGTACAAAATACTGGAGGTTGTGAGAGCACCTGAATTGGTTTTGAAGCCTTTACTGAAAAGCATGGCCGTTCTTTCATCAAAGTTATCATCACAGTCTAACACCGATGCTGACGTGACCAACGCTACCACAACAAACGCAGCCAGGCTCTGTTATAGTATAGCCACTTAGTGCTCTCCTTCGTGTGAAAAGAGATCCTGATTTTTTGCTTGGCGCGGAGATTCTCCGGGTGACACATGCTGTCACAGCGCGCACAAACCACTTCCACCTTCCCCTATTTTGGGAGCATGTCTAGAACAAATGGCACGGTAACAGCTTCATTACTTGCCTGCTATCCTCCTCTATCCACATGCAGCCACTACAAATGCTCTGCCAGTTTTATACACCAAATACTCCCATCAGCAACCTGCTCCTCTCGGTGATACAATTTAAGGCAAATCTGTGCTCTGGCTCGAATCCCAACCCCGCCCCACAAAAATGCAGTTGTTCCGGCAGAACTGCCTCTACAGAAGGGCTTTTCCCAGCACTGCTGGGCAGGTGAAGGGTATCTTTTACTCTTTGCAGATCTAGTTAGGCCACAGAAGCCTGGAATGCAGACACAGCTGAAGTTAAAGCAGCCTGAATTAAAGTAAGCAGAAAAATGGCTTAAAGCCATCTTTGTTCTGACCCTTTTTTTCTTCCATCAAGGGCTGTTGGGACCAGATTCCCAGCTGCTCTCTCACACCAAGTACAGCAGTCCATGTCCAGCTACACCTTTAAAGTATACTTTCAGCACACTCCTGTATGCCACTCCAGCTTAACAAATATCATGAGGAGTTTGCTCAGCTGATGAACAGGAACACCAGGAAAAATAGGGTAGAGGATGGCATTAGAGAGAAGACAAACAGCTAGCAAGCAAAGGCACCCTGATGCAACCCGGAGGCTTACGGCTCTGCTTCCACGTTATGGAAGAAATCTGTTTAGCTATATAAATAAGATGTATATGTAAATAAATTAAGGGTGGGCTGCAGGAAAGCAGCTAGACTGTAGCCCCTTCAGTATTTTGGAGGTTGCTTAGCAACAGGCTGGCTGCTGCAGGGCTAAAGCAGCATGAAATTAGCAGCTTTTCAGCAAAAGACAAATTGAATGTAAAACTGGGGAGGTGGACGTTGAGTGGCAGCAAGGAGAAAAGCATTAACTGGTGAATCTGATATGGTGGGCATCTTTCAGGAGTGTTTCCTGCGTGCAGGGGATCTTTAATTAATGTGGCCAAGGGGCTTTGTCCTGCCTGGGTACTGATAAATTCCAAAGCGTGCTTGGCAATTTGAGAATTCAATCTTGATTAAAATGATGGCTGTTACAGTCACCTCATGGGTTAATTACTTATTAACAATCTTAAATAGCTCAAACCCAATCATACCAGACTACCCTTGCTATATGAGTGCCAGCTGACTATACAACACGTTTACAGTTGCAGAGCTATCTAATGTATTTCCCCATTATTTCAGCTCTAGGTTATCTCAATGCCATCTCTGCATTCACTTAAGGAATTTGCTTCCTGTGAATCCTTTGAGTAACTGAATCTCATAGATCCACTTGTTCTGGCCAAATAATTCCTCTAAATCACATTGCTTCTCTAGTCTTCTGGAACAACCCCGTGTGGGCACAGAGAATCATTATATAGACAGCCGCTGTTAGAGAGAACTGAGTAATGAGAACAGCAAGAACAACATGTGTACACGTTTCATGAAGGACTTAAACGGGACTGTTGAATGGAAGACTTTTCTGGGTCACTTAATCTGGGGCCAGACTATACCAGTTAATTGTTTTCCACTGCTAAATGGGCATGAAGCTGGTCCCTGGCAGCAAGACACAACCAGAGAGCCCATTGGAAGGTGGTGTAGGAAGGCGGTCAGGTCGAGATGCTAAGTGACTTGTCCAGGCCTTAAATTACAGTAGGAGAGAGGAAATGCAGCGTCCCTTTTCCCTGCTTTTTACAGACACACAGAGCAGTGATAACTTATTTTACTCCTTATTTACAGAGTAGCTTATATTTGTGTGGTACTTCAAACAGAGTAAGACCTATCTGAGGGCCTGTGTGTGAACCAAATTTGCTTGGAGCAGGGAAACTTCTCACCTGCATTTCATCCTCCTCAGTGCCCCAACACAGCACCTAACCATTCCTGTGAATGGGGCAGAGCACATACAAGCCATCACCAGTTTCGCAGGCTGTAAATTAGGTATAGTAGAGCAGGTTGACTGTTTTCAATCCTTGTAATTTTCAGAATGATTTCTGGGTCCTTGGGGGCTGCACACAGAGATGCCTTTGGCAATGTTTTGTTTTCCTACTTGTCTGGGGTTGAAAAGAAGGCTGAGGCTCACTGATGTGGCAAACACTTAGGCGAGATGCCCTCCATTGCCTTAATGAGCCTATTAAACAAATCTATCAAAGGTGTAACAAGTCTCAGAGGAAAGAAACACAGAGATATTCCTAGTACATGTACACAAGAAAACAACACATAGACTACAATAGTTAATTTGGAACAACATAATCCCATTGCTGGAGAAGGATATCAATCTAAAATACCTTGACACTTTTCCTTTTTGCACAGCCAGAGTTATCTGTGCCTGAGCGTACAGCTTCACTGTCTGCTTCAGCTTCACCTCCTCTGAACGGGAGATGATAAAATCCTGTTTCATGGAGCTGCTGTGATAAATTCATCTCTAGGGTATTTGGAGAGTCAAGCGACACTGTTAGTGCTCGCTGAACTTAAGCAAAATCAGTGACTGAACTGAGACAGTCTTGGTTTAGGTCACAAGAGCCAAAGACTGTATCAAAACTCAAAAGGAATTTTATTCTCCACTTTTCCTAAGTGAGTCCTTGCAGGTGTGCATCCCAGGATTTAATCTCCTAAAGGAGATTAAAAGATACTGCTATATTAACACAAATATACTGGTTACCAGGCATACAGCAACTGGCTCACATCACTCTCCACCACACATGCTTTTATTTAAAAGGTTAACTATTACCCAATACTGCATATTTTCCGGTGCTTAGCCCCATTTTATGGGGAAGTGGTATTGCTTGTGGGCTGGTAGCTGTGTGCATCGCCTGTTGAAGGTGGCTAACTAGTATATGCCAGGCTAAGGTTCAGTGTAATACAGATGGGGCTGCAGGCTCCCTCGCCCTGGTACCATCAGTACCAGCAGCACAGGTCAGAAAGGGAAGTTCCAGAGGAATGTGCATAGAAGCGCTTCCTTCCCTCCACAGGACAGACAGATGGGGCAGCTGCTGAGCCCTGACATGAACCGAGCACAGAAGTACAGCCAGGGGAGGTTGTAAGTACTGGAAATTACCAGGGAGAAGAGATTTAATAAGCAAAGGTGCAGACAAGCCTGAATCTTGTGTTCTGATCATGTATTAAGAGTGGAAAAGAAGGAGAAGCAGGAAGGGCAAATAGCGTCAACAATGCTTAGGAGTTGGAAAGAGATGTATTAAAACACATGCTTATTTCTCTTAAAATGTCACTCTGTCAACTGTCACAGTTTCCAGACTTTTAGAATTGAATTATATTGTAATTACTTCCCATTGGACAAGGTCACAAAAATAAAAGCTCAGTACCTTCCTACATTATGGTCTGCTGTATGTTCTTTACACTCCTGTGGCAGCCAAGTCTCCTTTTCTAATGTCAACAAATTTGCCTTCAGAATAAAATGCTGGTTTAGGTCCATTAGTGTAGTGCAAGGCACATTAAAAAGTTGAGAGCCATCATTACCGATCTTTCCAAGAAGCCTCCCAGAGCACAGAGGTCTTTATCCTCTTGCTAATCCTTACAATACACTTTATATCACAAAAGCAACAAAAAGGAAACAAATATGAAACCCAGGTGCATGGAACCTTGTGGCAATGAAAACATGTAGCAGAGAAGGCAGGGACCCTACATTCTGCACAAGCCATTGCTATATATCCCTTTTCTCATTGGTCCCAAACCAAAGTCTCCACACCTGCAGATCCTACAGGTCAGCCACCACACCTGCAGATCCTATCCTTATCCACCACACCTGCAGATCCTATACTTACTCCCACAACAACTCCCCCTTCTTTACTAAGAACAAAGAAGCAGAAAATAGCTTATAATTATAACTGGCAGTAAAGTAATATGGCTTCCCAACTGCTGTATGATCAAAATACAAAAAAGATTTGTTTTTACATTTGTTGTTTTACACAAGCACCCCATGGCTTAGGAACCACTATATAAACAATTAAAGAATACATTTTGATAATATCATAATTCTGTGATCGCTTTCTTTACAAAATCTGAACTTAAAAATCTAAGTGCAAATCAATTCACATCAAAAAACCTGCAATTTCAATTACTGAGTTAGTTAAGACTATTTTCTTGTTCTTGCACTTGTTCTTGATCTTGTCTTCCTGTCCATCCCTCCAGCAGTCCAAGTAGCCTCCCTTACATCATCTTCTTTGCTAAGTTCTTCTTTAGTTTTATTTCTTTTTCCTTTTTTTGGTGATCTATATTCATCGTTCTCTGACTTTAGTTTTTTGAATGCTACGTCATCTGCTGGCAACAGACATTTTCTTCTGTGAGAAGTGGAAATTGTCAGTTGTGTAGGGTTAACCTCTTTTCCTTTTCCAGAACAATTATTTTTTTGTTTTTGGAACGAATGGATGTCAAACACACATTTTTTGAGTTTCCAAAGTGCTACCGTTTTCTGCACTCGTTCCCACAACAGCTCCCCCTTCTTTACTAAGAACAAAGACAGAAGTTCTTGATTTGCTTATGAAAAATAATACACTTACTGAAGTCAAATGCAATCTTCCTGTAAATGCAATCAAGTCTATTTAAATCTAATTCCCTTTCATTTGTGTTTTTTGGACTTTTAGTTTCTTGTTCCCTTTTCAAAGGAGCATTTTACTTATAGGCCTGAATGAAGCAGCTTAGCAAAACTGTAATACTGACAAACAGCATCTTACACCATTAGCTAAACATTACAATGAAAACAGTGAACATTTACAGTCTGCTTCCTCCTGTAAAAGATCTGCCTGTTCAATGGCTTTGAGAACATTTTTCTTGGAAGTCTCCTGAACTTCCCCTCCTAAAAGGAACTCATCTAGAATGAAATAGGCTTTTTCAAAATTGAAGATGATATCAAGTTCACACACACTGCCAAAATACTTGTCAAGAAGTTCTACATAGCAATAAATTATTTCCAGAGTTATTAGTTCATTGTCCTGATCTTCAATAGCACAGCAGAAATAGAGGCTTACATATCTTTTGTAGACAATCTTCAAGTCTCTCCATTCCAGAAAGCTGCACATTTTTGGTTTGCGGGCTAATACTGTTTGAACAAGTTCTCTTGTGATTTTCTTCTTTTCTTTGTCAGATAATGGGACATACCACTTCTGGAATCTCACTTTCCCCTGGCGACTAAAGAGTAACATAAACTGCATCATGTCACAGGGGGGCGGGGGGGGAATGAAGAGGAGGAGGCGGCAGCACGACTACCCAGCCGGCTGCTACTGCTGCCAC